TTTTTTTTTTTTTTTAAGAAACAAGAATGTGTCGGTCGATCTCGCTCGCGTGAAATGTTATCTAGCAGAATAGGGGAATATACTATATATGTGAAGAATATAGAGCACACTCTTAACCTATTCGCGCAGAATAACGAGTCAGGCTCTCGTGGTATATTTTTTCTGGCCAAAATGGCCATTAACGAGCTAGACTCGTGGTGTATTTTTGTGGCAATAATATGCATCAACGTGTGCAAGTTAATAGTCGTGATAACGTTGTGTTGTATCGCGATTGATTTCGAATAATAATTATTCTATGTAATTACGAAATAGCTTCACCGTTTTAATTAATTACGAAATAATTTTGTTCGTAATTAAGCACTGGCAAACGTGAAAATAATTTTGAAAAGTGTAGCGATGAACAGATCTTTTTTCAAAGACAGAAAAATCATTTTAGACGTGTATATATATATATATATCTTCCGAAGATCCTGATGGTGAGGATCCAATAAAAACAAATGAAAGTGAAAATAACGCTAATGATTGGGTTCCCAAAGATGATAATCGAACCTAACCTAAACCTTTTATCTTTGGAAAACTTAGGAGATAATCCCACTGTAACATAGATTTATTCGATTTAATATTGATGAATGATTATTGACACGCGATAGCTGTTGAAACAAATAGATATGCAGCACAGATGCTAAATAGCGAAAATTACAAAAAGAAAAAATACAAAAAGAGAAGTGAAACTACTTTGGTAGTTTTACATATTCCAGAATGTTTTAAAAAGTTATCATACTGAAATAAACTATTAATACATACATACATATATACATATATACATACATACATAGATACATACATACATACATCATACATATATACATACATATATATATATATATACAATCTTTTGTTTGTTTATTGAAGAAGTTTTTTCTGGAAAATTTATTAATAAATAGCATTTTCTGTTTACTACCGTATCTTTTCAGTGTTTTCTGAATCATTTCTACACTACATTGCCTAAACATTTTGTGCACAAAAATATACATGATTGCCACGCGAACAAACGCTGTATTCAACTGAATGTTCTTGCGACCGAAGATTGAGAAATGAGTCGCGCGCGTTTGAGGTAGAGGAGAACTGTTACCGAAGCGTTGGAAAAAAGCGCTTAGTTTTCGCTTTTTGCTTCCGCAGGCGGCAACATCGCGAAAAGTGTCGTGTACCGTTGATCGCACTTGGCACGCCGTTTCTCTTTTTTCTTCTCGTTATGGTGGATAATCGAGCTCGTGAATTCGATCGACGTCAAGTGAGTAAGCGAGCGGGCGAGAAAGAGAGAGAGGGGGGGGACTTTCTCGCGTGTCCTTTCTTCTTGTTCGATTCACGTGGCCCGGTAAATTCCGCCGCAACGAGGAATACGAAATGCGAACGCGAACACCTCCGACAAAGCATTATCCGTCATCGTACGTATAAACGAGTTCGGTTGAGCCGAGGAATCGGCTCGTTAAACGCGAGCTCTCCGTTGCCACGGTGTTACACGAAACTGCTTTTAGACGTAACGAGTGCACCACCGGTGGTGCACTCGGTGACCCTGATTGACGAAAGCGTTCCCAGAAAGCCAGCAGGCAGGCCGTCCTCGCTTTTATCTATTTTTATCTATCGCGCCACTTCTGGGAATCTCGCGTCCGATGCTCTACGGAGAAAAGATATATTGCGAATATCTTCCGAGTTCGGTCGCAGTTGGCTGATCGTACGCGGAACTTGAAAAAGGGAATCGTCGAAGGGAGAAAACTCTCCCCCTCCCCTCCTCCCTCGAGCGATATCTAACGTTTCCTCCATCGTATCGATGATACACGCATATACGGTTTCTTCGATAAATTAACCGGCCGGCTAATAACACGTGTGTAGCTTTTATGGTTATATAAATTGAAGTTTTCTTACGTGTATTTTTTATATTAATAAAAATCAAGCGTATTTATCAGACAGTCGATGGAGTGTCCATTAAAGCGCCCGACACCGGCCAAACGAATATTGTGAGCGTCGGTCCCGAGGGACCGACACCGACAGAACGAATGACGGAGCGTCGGTCCGCAGGGACTGACACGGTCTCGAACGTGTTAATCCCCGATAAAACTACCTGTCCGGATAAAAATAAGTTACGTTAGTGAATTACTTTCGTACACGTTCGTGTAATTCGCGATCATCGAGTTCTCGTCGCTTTGATCGAGGATCGCGGATTCTCCTTCGCGTCGGGAAACCGACGAGTCGAATATGCACGGGGAGAGGAGAGACGAGTTGAAAAAAAAAATCGATTCACGTTGCCGCGAAGGTATCGCGCTGGCGAATAGCGAGATAAAAAGGATCGACACGTTGGGAACACGTTGGTCGATCGGGGGAGACACTCGAAAATCCGGTGATGGAACGGGCGAGAGTAGTAACGGTACCGGGTGGCGCGAGACGTGGGGAAAAA